CCCAGGAATGCAGAACATGGAATAATGCTAGACAACAGTTCTTGAGGCAAAAATACAAAATACAGTGGCTGACTCAAGGAGACATGAACACAAAATTTTTCCATAGCATGATGAAGGCAAGAAGGAATTTCAATAGAATATTCTCTATTGACACTACAGATGGGCAACACACAAATGAGCTAGAGGGGATAGCTAAGGCATTCATAACCTTCTATGAAGGCCTGCTGGGAACCAATCAAAGGGATAGGGAACATGTATGTAGCAGCTTGGTAAGACAGGGGCCCACAGTTTCTACTATGCATAGGACAAAACTAGTAGAGGAATTTACTGAGAAGGAAGCATAAGGCGCCATGACTAGATGGGTTTGGCAGTCAATTCTTCAAAGATGGTTGAGAAATTGTAGGGAAGGATGTGGTAGATGCCGTGTTAGAAATCTTCAGGAATGGAAAAATGCTCAAAGTATGGAATAATACAATAATTATTCTCATACCAAAAAGTGCACATGCCTCCAGTGTAGAGGATTACAAGCCAATAGCATGATGTAATACAATATATAAGATCATCTCAAAGATGCTTTGTAATAGGCTCAGAATAGTCCTCCCCGAGCTAATACAGACAATCAAAGTGCACTTGTAGCTGGTAGAAGTATTGTGCAGAACATTCTCATCTGTCAAGATTTAATAAGACTATACAACAGGAAAGCCACTACCAAGAGCTGCTTGATTAAAATTGACCTTAAAAAAATATATGATACAGTAGAATGGAGATTTGTAGAGGAAATGTTATATGCTATGAACTTCCCTGGAAGGTTTATTAAATGGGTGATGAACTGTATAACTACAACACAGTACAGTATTGCTTTGAATGACGGCTTGTATAAAAATATTCAGGGCAAACGTGGATTGAGGCGGGGGATCCTATATCACTACTTCTCTTTGTCATATGCATGGAATACCTCTCCAGAAATGAAGAGGGTAGCAAGTATGCCAGGATTTGAGTTTCACACAAAATGTAAAGGGTTAAAGCTGAATCACTTATGTTTTGCTGATGATGTTCTGCTGTTCTGTAAAGGAACATATAAGTCAGTATTGCTGATACTTAGAGGACTTCAGACATTCTCAAGGGCTTTAGGACTATGCACAAATGTAGGAAAGTCCAATATCTTCACTGCCAATACGAAACAACAAAGTCTGATGGATCTATGTGATATAACAGGTTACCAGAAGGGGACTTTACCATTTAAATATCTGGGTGTTCTAATTTCAACTAAAAAGCTGAATGGTATAGACTGTGAGATGTTAGTAGATAGGATGACAGCAAGAATCAAAACATGGGGATCAAGGCACCTATCATATGCAGGTAGAGTGCAGCTTATCGCTCAGTACTGATGCATGTTCACACATGTTGGTCTTTTATTTTACTATTACCAAAGCCAGTGATGAAACGGATTACAGCAGTTTCCAGGAACTTTCTATCGGATGGGAAGGAGGTGAGCAACAAAGCACCTCTGATAGCATGTGGCTTGGTATGTAAACCAAAGAAAATGGGAGGCTTGGGAATCACAAATGGGGTGTTATGGAATGAGGCTGCAATAGGAAAGTATGTATGGAATATTGCTAGTAAGGCAGATGATCTATGGGTGAAATAGATAGATCACATGTACTTAAAGGGTAGCTCTTGGTGACAATATAAGCCTCCTAAGGATTGCTGCTGGTATTGGAGGAAAATATGCTCGGTTAGGGATATATTTGCACAGGGGTACGTAGAACAGGGGTGGTTAGAAAGTAATGGCAAATATAACACTAAAAGTGGATACTTATAGAGACAAGGAAACATGAAAAATTGACCTTGGAGTAGATGGGTATGGAACAATGAAAATGTCCCCAAACACAGCTTCATATGCTGGTTGGTTGGACATGGAACACTGCTAACAAGAGTGAGAATGCAGAAAATAGGGATAACTCAAGATACAATGTGTACAATATGTGACAGTGCACCTGAGACGATAGAACATCTGTTTTTTGAATGCAGTTCTCAAAAGCTTGCATACTGGCAATGACAAAATGGTTGAATATTGGAGTGCAGAATACCACATTACAAGGCATATGGAGAAGGCTAACAAGAGGGGTCAAAGGAGAAACCTGCAAAACATTGGTAAAGTCAGTACTAGCAGCGTTGGTATATGCTATATGGAAGGCACGTAATGAAGCATTATGGCACCAAAGAGTTCCTAATTCTTGGACAATTTCTACTCAAATTCAACAGGAACGCAAATTAAGAAATGATAGAATAAGAAGTAGAAGGGATAGGGAGTGGATAGATGATCTGTATAGGAAAAAGCCATAGCTCAAAAGAATTCATAGACCAGTTTTGCGACTATGGAAAGATTATAGGTAGCAATACCTAACTTTCATAGTCTGTACAATTTGAAAGTGTATATCTCATATAGTTCTTGTTGGGATGATTAATAATATTCTTTTCTTCACCAAAAAAAAAAAGAATGGGTTACCGTTTTTTATTTAGAAAAATTCCAAAAGTTATTTTTGGAATAAACTTTTATAAATAATTTCCTCAGCCAAATAAGAAAAGGGTTTATAGGTGATGTTATATATTAGGGTGATGGAAAAATTTGCCGCAACAATTCTTGAGAAGAAAAATCACTTTGTGAAAGTGAGAGTGCAACATAAGCCAAGAGAGAAAATACCATTACAAGAAAAGTGTTTCTTGTTCTTCTATCATTGAGTTGAGATTTTTGAGAAAAATTTCAGCACAATATTTTGTTCAATTTGTTTGCCAGTTTCATTGATCAAAGAGTTTATAGCAAGGATCGGTCTCGGTATGGACAGAAGCGGATTTAGGATTTCTTGAAAATGGGTGCACCATTAAAAAAGTTAGAAAAAGAACTATTAATTGGGGATTGATCCATGTTCCTCTAGGTGAAAATCCCAATATTCAACCAAGTGCACCATTTAGTCTTTTTGAGGCATGGGTGCCAACACATAGTATTAGACAAATTCTAGAAAATATGTGCATAAAATACCTAGTTTGGCGGAAAGACCATGGGTTCAGTACCCCATGATTTGGGCTATACATCCGCCCTTGGGTATGGATACGCATAGAGTCTTCGCACTATCGAAGAATTTTTGAAACGAGACTCTCTTCACCAGGTACGTCTTAGGTCCGATCTTTAACATGTAAATAAATTTTAATCACGAAAAGATCTTTTTAGGATTGTTATTGTCTTTCGCTGCGTGTTACGAACACCAATACGCAATCCTTCAAGGTTTTCTCCCTCACGTTCTCCTCAATATTCTTCCTTAAATTACTTATAAACTTCCATATGAATTTCTTTTTCGTAAGTTACCTACGTATGATCATTTACGTTTTTTTGTTGGGTTCTTGTTATTCTAATTTAGGTGACTATTGCAAAAATAGATTTAGTCCACGCCTTAAACACTGTGATTTTCGTGATTATGCATTGAATTACAAAGGTTATAGGTATTTTGATCCCTCAAGTAACAAAATCATTGTAAGCTTTTTTCCTTATTCTTATTTCACCCCAAAATTTACTAACTTTATCGTCGTATCTCTCTTCAAGTTTCCTAACAAATTAGGGACCCGTTTATCCATAATAATTTTTTCCTGAAACTTATCTTCAACATATTGCTTGGTTATACATTTCACTGAGTTTCAAAAAAAAGTGAAGATGAGTTTCAAATTTGGAAAAGTATTTTTTGTCTCTTTTTCAAGTAAATATATGGGTGTATTAGACTGAATTTGGTTGCTAGGATTAAGGAGTTTGAATTAAAGTTGGTGCATGGTATACTACCTAATCTAATAGGTAGTTGAGTTGGATAGAAGAAGAATTATTACGATAACAATAAGAATTGGAATAAGAAGCTAAAATAGAAATAATTAAGGAAGAATTTGAATGAACTGGTGGCTGCCGTGAGGAATGAAGAATGCACCGGGCTAGTATCACATCCTTAAGAATGTCACAAAAAGGACCATTAATACTATAATATCGTACGTAACTCTTCTTATTATAGTCAGATTATTAATTAAAAATGTTTTGCTCGCAAGGTTGACTGAGTTGGTCGGGTAAGTAGTTTCCCACATGGGAGACCTGGGATCGACTCCCCGCACCAGCGTTGCACCGGGCTTGCCTAATGCGACTTATATCTTCTGTGATTTGCAAACTTTTGTACAGTAAGTTATCCAGTACGCCGCAGGGTAGCAGCTGCGAGTTTCGGAGGAATTTTCCAAAAATAAAAATAAAAATAAAAGATGTCTTCTTACAAAACAAGTATGCCACGTGGCAAGCCATGATGTAATGTCCGATAATATTGTATTGGGAAAAAATTAAATTTAAATATTGAAGATGACATGTCATGACACGTGGACCGGTCAAATAGTCAAAACGTGGTAATCAGTTAGAAGGCACGAGCAACAACAAATGCGGGAGAGAAGATACTTAAAGGCACGAGCTATTATTCAAATGAAACGAGACTCGTACCTGTTCGAGTCATTTAAAGTTCGAAGATCAGAAGGAATTAGAGACATGAATCTGATAGCGAAAAAGAGTCCAAATTCAGCATTAAATGCCAAATACGTTAGAGAATTTGTATTTAATATGAATGATTGAGTAACGTTTCTTTCAATATCATTTATTGCTCGTAATTGCCTCATTAAAACAAAGGCATTACACTTTCTCTTAAAAATTAACTATAAAAAGAGGAAGTCATAACATCTGTAGGGGACACAAAAAACACTACTGGAATATACTTTGTTTTATTTGCTTTCTGATTATATCATTCAAAATTTATTTCTTATATACTTTTCCGATTATCAGTAACCCGAGTTCTTCTAAATTCGAACTTTGACCTAAAATCTAATTTTTGGTTAAACAAATATTTAAGGAGAGCAATAGCCATCTTTCTCTTACACACAGGCAAACACTAGTAAAGAAAACTGTTTCACTCTAAAAGTTTTAAAAAAGAATGGAAGAAATAAAGCATAAATTCATAGAAGTAAATGGGCTGAAACTTCACGTAGCTGAAATTGGAAGTGAGTCTTCTCCAGCTGTTGTGTTCTTACATGGATTTCCTGAAATATGGTATTCTTGGAGGTACCAAATGATAGCCATGGCTAAAGCTGGTTTTAGAGCCATTGCTTTTGATTACAGAGGTTATGGTTTGTCTGAACAGCCAAAAGAACCTGAAAAAACAACATTCTTGGATTTTGACAATGACCTCCTTGGACTCCTCGATGCTCTCAGCATTCCAAAGGTACTATCTTTTTTACGATATCTGAACCCTTTTAGTACGGAAGGGAGTCTCGGAGTAACGATAAAGTTATCCGTGTGACCTATAAGTCACGAGTTCGAGCTGTGGAATCAGCTAGGATAGACTACCTATATCCACGCTCTTGGATGCGGCCCTTCCGCAGACTCCGCATAAATATGGGATACTTCCTTTCAGCGGGCTGTGAACCAAGGGGCGTATGTAGAGTTCTACCGACGGGTTCAATTGAACCCATAACTTTCAACGCAAAGTAAAAAAAATTATTAAAATTACAAAAATAGTAGATAAAAACCCACAATTTTAAAAATATAATTGATTCAATGCTAAAAACCTTAAAAGCTGAACCCATAGAATTTATATCATGGATCCGCCTCCCGGGGTGTCATCTAAACCCTTTTAACAGGTTAAAAAGATGCAAGATGATGAAATTTAGAGTTATTTGGTAGTGCTTTAATTAAGAAACTATTATAATATGTTAGTTTTTGTCAGGTTACCAATTAATTGTAATGCATATCTTAAAGATTTTAAGTTCTATGAGTTGACGGTATAATTTTTTCTTTTTACACAATCAAGTTATCTCTGCCTCCCAATTTATGTGACTATATTTGACTGACACGGAATTTAAGAAAGAAGGAAGAGACTTCAAATTTTTGTGGTTTAAAATGAGCCATGGATAGTTATAAATCATCTCATTAAAGATAAAGTGATAATTTTAAAGTTAAATTGTTACTAAATATAGAAACGTGTTTAGGTTATCATGTATATCGAATTGGCTGAATATCTGTGGTGAGATATCTTAGCCGCAAATGAACTTACTTTCTCCAGCTTCCTATAGAGCATATTTGTGTCCTTTTTAAAGATGAGTAATTAAGTGACAAATTTTCAAGCTCAGTTAAAACTACACTGTGAATGAGTTCATCTAGAAATGAAATCTTTCATGGCTGTTCCAATACAAAATTTCAGTTAATTAACTTCTAGTGCTTTTTATGTTTATTTTGTATAATATCGTCCCGAGATGAGTTTAAATGGAGCAATATGGTTAGTTAGGATTCATATATATATAGTTCATCCAACTTGCTTGGGATTGAGGCGTAGTTGTTGTCAGGGGCGGAGGCACGTTGATCCGAGCGGTGTCATCCGACACCGCTTCGTCGATGATTTTTTTAATTAATATGTATATAAAATAATACTACGTAAAACAACATAGCAATAAATAGAGCTGAAATAAGACCACCTGACTAAAGAGCTTCGGTGGCTCGCTGGTAAGCATCTAGATTTCCAAGTGGAAGTCAAGAGTTCTAACCCTTGCTAGGTTGGTTTCATTTTTTTAAAATTTTCAGTATTATTGTGGAATAGAAGCCACCATCCGCGACAGCATCCCATTGGTATATCTCACTGCCAAAAATACTTTTAATGATTCATAGAATATAGTGTTTACCCTGGAATCCGGATGACAATTGAATTTATATGGGGTTTTAAGGATCCGTGAACTAAAAGATACAAAAGGCTTTTAGGTTGAGGAAAATAAAGATAAAGACTCAACAATTGCTGTTAAAGTAAATAATCGCAGAATATAATATTGCTTAGAACAATTGTGCTTGATGCCCCACAAGAATTTAGAGAGATACCCATTTATACATTCTGATTAAGGGTAAAAATAAGGTAGGTAAATTGATTACATCGTGGATCCCTGTAATTACGCCTTAATGGCCTGAAGTGGTTGAGAAAATCACGTTTGGGCGAGATATCCGACGACGCTTGGTTATCCGTTACGAGCCCGGCTTCCGACCTTGTGTGTTTCTCCATCCGGTGGTGATTCCTTTCGAGCTCTGTAACGGTCTCGAAATGACTCGACCTCGGTTGTAGACGTGGCCGTCGTTCTACCTTGCATCCAGGTCGGGTTCGATGGCCCCGACTTGCTCCGGACCGGATCCAACCCGGTCGGGCTCAAGCAAAAAAGGGTATCACCCAATACATATAGAAAGAAATATTTCTAATGAGTCTATTGTAGATACAATTACTTAGAACTCGTCCAAGAGAAATTTGTATTGGGGTACTTGAATTATTGTTTTAAAAAAAAAAATATGAAATAGGATTTTATTATAGTGTTTTATTTATTGGCTCACTTTTTTAAATGCCGACACCTCTTACGAAAACTCCTGCGTACGCTCCTGGTTGTTGTTATACTAATCAATATTGGCAGGAATAATATTTTGTAAAGTACATTACTCAGCTCTCATACTTTCTTTCACCGTCACTAATGTATATGCTTGCGCGATATGTAGGCTTTTCTCGTTGGTAAAGATTTTGCGGCATTTGTTATTTCCTTATTTGTCGTTCTGCACGAGGACAGGGTCTCTGGATTTGTTACCATGGGCGTGCCGTTTATGCTCCCAGGTCCATCCGACTACGGCCTTCCAGAAGGTTTCTATATCACAAGATGGATGGTATGTTTTAATTTCCTTTATGATCGGAAGGGGAACCTTGGAGCAGCGGTAAAGTTGTGTCCGTGTGACCTATAGGTCAAGGGTTCGAATCGTAGAAGCAGCCACTAATGCTTGCATTAGGACAAACTGTCTATATCACACCTCTTGAGGTGCGGCCCTTCCTGGTGCACCAGGCTGCATAACATTAAAAATTGTAGCTGCTTTCAACATCTATTCGAGATTTTTTTTTGGCAGGAGCCTGGGCGAGCTGAAGCTGATTTCGGTCGATTTGATGCCAAAACAGTTGTAAGGAAAATTTACATACTCTTCTCTAGAAGTGAAATACCAATAGCTGACGAAAATCAGGAAATCTTGGATTTGGTGGAACCAGGCACTCCTCTGCCCTATTGGTTCAGTGAAAAAGATCTGGCAATCTATGGAGCTAAATACGAGAAATCTGGATTCCAGACTGCTTTGCAGGTTCCTTATAGGTAACAAAATGCTTGTATTCCTAATGACTTGGCAGGATCTAGAGTGACTGCGTTTAGGATCTATGGTCTTCATTATAAGTAGTTAATTTAAACTTTTTTCGCGTACGTATACATTGCTCGACCGAAAGCAATGGGTTAAGCAGAACCTGATCTAAATTGAAACTGGCATGCCTCAACAATAACTGGATCCATGAAACTGACAATATTAGTATTGTTTTATGCTTTGTTCTCGCAACTTTATTACTAGATGTTTCTTATTTCTAGATTTCTATTACTACCCAATGTTTTTTTTCACTTCGATTTTTATTATCTTGCTGTTGTTACTGCTTGTTGCTACTGGTTCTTTTTTCATATTTTCTTGAGCCGAGGACCTATCGGTAACAGCTTTAACTAGGTCGAACTTTCTTATTTTGATTTAGTTTAAACTTCTTTTGGCTATAGGGCAATGGCCGAACAATTGAATGTAACAGCACGACCAGTTCAAGTTCCTGCAATGCTGATAATGGGCGAGAAAGATTACGTCCTAAAATTTCCAGGAATCGAAGACTATATTAGGAGCGACGAACTGAAAAGTTTAGTACCAAAGTTGGAAGTAATCTTTATGCCTGAAGGAACTCATTTTGTTCAAGAACAAATGCCTGATGAAGTTAATCAACTTCTCCTCAGCTTCCTCCTTCACAACAAGAGTACTTAATCGGTTCAATTATGATCTTCTGAAATGCAGCTTAAGCACTATTATATATCATAGTTCTGTTATCAATGTGATAAATGTGTTATATATCTGCACTTTTAGCAGTATGTATATGTGTAATATAATTATCATAAAATTTGTGTAATTTGGATTTCTGGTACATGAAGGTTGAAGTGTAATGAGTGGCTTGGTTACTTTACCAAATCTTGAAAATGATTCATTATAGCAGTGGGCAGTGGTATATATCTATGTGGAACTGGGTGGTCTGGTGCACGAAACATCCGGCATTCACGCATGGTCCGAAAAAGAGACGTACCTCAAGGGATATCTCAAAGAGGGTAATGTAGGCAGCCTGCCTTGATGCATCAGTGGCTAATGTAGTGTCAATAATGATAGATCATATAAGAAGCTGAAAAGGAAAGCAGGTTGAAAACATAATATTTCTAGTATTCTAAGGATATATTATATTGTGAAAAAAATAAAGTTGATTTTTTGGAAAAATATAGAATCCTCTAGAATGTCCTAGTATAGTATCCTTGATATTTATCTAGTAGACATATCTAGATGTTCTAGAATGTTGTGGGAAGATAAGACATGTCTAGATATTCTAGAGTGTTGTTAGAAGATAAGGTTGCTAGAATCTTCTTTGTACATTATCTAGAATCATATCTAGAATTATCCATAGGCTAGTATAAATAGAGGGTGTCTTGTTCATTTGTAACCAAGCCACAATCAAGAAAGTCTTCTTCAATAACAAAGTTCTCCTTTCAAAAATCTCTCTTCCTTTTTCAAGCTTCCTCTTCTTTAGTTGAATCCTCCAATCTTAGTTAACGATCTTGGGCTAGCAGAAGGTCTCCAGAAAAATACTCTTCATCTCCTATTCTTTACATGGTATCAAAGCCATAAGTCGGCTTCTGGATTTCAAGGTCGGGTTAGTGGTTGATTCAACTGGTTTCTCTAAATGGATTTGGGTGGTCGTGCTAATGGATTGGGGATTGAGTTATTGAACCAGTCCAACTACAAGGTATGAAAAACTTGTATGGAGTCATACCTTGTTGGTGAGGATTTGTGGGAAGTTGTCAATGGGAGTAACACAAGTCCTCCTGCTGACGACTGGAAAATAGCAATGCGTGTAAGAAGTGGAAGCAGATTAATGCTAAGGCGGAGTTTATCCTAAAGAGACCTATCTATCCTAATTTATTTGATCATATTATAAGGTGTAAATCAGCTCATGAAATATGGAGGGCCTTCGATCGACTGTTCAACAAGAAGGATGAAGCTCGGCTACAGATTTTGGAGAATGAGTTAGCTAACACCACTCAAGGTAATCTCTCTATCGCCGAGTATTTCTTGAAGGTTAAAAATCCGTGTTTCGAAATTTCTCTATTGAATCCGGACGAGGCTATCTCTGAAGCACGAATAAGAAGAATCATTATTCGTGGTTTAAAGCCAGAATATATTTCATTTGTTACATCGATTCAAGGATGGGTTCAACAACCATCTTTGGAAGAATTTGAGAATCTGCTGTCGTCACAAGAGCTACTAGCCAAACAGATGGCTGGTGTATCTATCAAAGAAGGGGAAGGAAATGCTCTTGTGGCCGATAAGAGAAACTATAGAGGGAAATCAAGAGAAGCATGCACTTTCAATCCTCAAGTGGTTCAAGCTCGCCAGGAAAGAAGGGGGAGTCTTCCAGTAACGGTAAAAAACTTTTAAAATGTTACCGTTGTGGCAAAGTCGGGCATATAAAAAGATATTGTCGAGCCAAAGAGAGCAATATGGCTCAAACAAGGAAAGTTGCTGAAGAAGAAAAAGAAAAAGAAGAAGACTGGGGAAAGTGCTTCGCAGCGGAGACTCGAGCAATAAATGCCATGGCTTCCATAAATTTTGAAAGAGACTGGATCGTAGATTCAGGATGTGGGCACCATCTCACTGGAGATCAATCCAAATTCTCCACCTTTCGCAAATACAACGGACATAATGTCATTGTTACAGCAGATAATACAATCCATAATGTTGAGAAGGAAGGCACTGTTGTGATCAACGAGAAGCAAAAAGACACTATCACCCTCAACAGTGTCTTTCATGTTCCAGGAATGAAGAAAAATGTATTTTCAGTTGCAAATGCTGTAGATACTGAAAACTATTTGCTATTTGGCCCACATGGTGTGAAGTTCCTTCAAAATATTAAGGTGCTCAAGACAGATATCGTTCACTCAGGTAAGAGAGTTAACGATTGATATGTCTTATCTGCCTCTAATTCATATATTGAGAAGATGAGTAGCAATGATAATACACATCTTTGGCATGCTAGACTTGGACATCTAAGCATGGACAAATTAAAAGCCATGGTATAGTTGAATCTAGTAAAAGGTTTGCCTAACTTAAGAAATTTTGGTGAAGGAGAGGTTTGTGAAGGATGTCAATATGGAAAGGCACATCGTCTTCCATTTGACAGATCCTTGTCAAGGTGCAATGCTCCACTAGAACTTATTCACAGTGACTTGATGGGGCCAATGAGAACTCCTTCATTTTCAGGCTATTCTTATATAATAATTTTCATTGATGATTTTACTAGATTCACTTGGGTTTATTTTGTGAAGCACAAGTCAGAAGTTTTCAGTAAGTTTGTGGAGTTCAAAGAAACAGTTGAAGGTGAACTCGATTCCAGAATAAGGCGGTTGCGAACTGATAATGGCGGTGAGTTCACATAAGATGAGTTTCTTTCCTTTTGTCGTTAGCATGGCATTAAAAGAGAGCTAACATGCGCTGATACACCACAACAAAATGGAGTGGCTAAAAGGAAGATCCGACACTTAACTGAGACATGTAAGAGTTGGCTTCATGTCAAGAATTTACCTAGAGCCTTGTGGGCTGAAGGTATGAAATGTGCAGCGTACGTGATTAACAGGATGCCGCTTTCTCCAAACAATATGAAGTCTCCCTATGAATTAATGTTTGGACAAAAACCTAGCGTGAAACACCTAAGGATTTTTGGCTCTATTTGTTATGTTCACATTCCGGATTCTCAACGGAGCAAGTTAGATGCCAAGGCAAGGAAATGCATCTTTGTCAGATATGATGAAAGGAAAAAGGGATGGAAGTTCATGGATCCTAAAACTCATCTCTTTGTTGTCTCAAGGGATGTCATATTCGACGAAGTGTCTTTGTATTATCGAGCTGCATTGGATGGAGAGAGTTCAAAAACCTTAAATAATGGAGATTCAAGCTTGCCCATTGCAGGTGCTTCTCTAGATAATACAGCCGCCGAGGAGTTAAGAGAAAGGGGGAGTCCTGGACCTCAACAACATGAAACTCAACAAGAAGATAATTCAAGTGGTTCGGGAAGGCCAAAAAGAACTATTATCAAGCCAGCTCGCTTCAGAGAAGAAAATTTTGTCAGTACGTATTCCTGTTTCTTTGCAGGACCAATTGATGATGAAGAACCTTCCTCATTCGAAGAAGCTAAAGGAGTAAAAGAATTGGAGCTTGCTATGGATGATGAAATGGAGGCTCTGATGAAAAATCAAACTTGGAGCCTTGTACCAAAGCCGAAGGATTTACAACCTATTTCTTGTAAATGGGTTTACAAAATTAAAAGAAGAGCAGATGGCAGCATAGATAGATATAAAGCAAGGCTTGTTGCTCGGGGATTTTCTCAAAAGTGCGGTGAAGATTATGAAGAAACCTTTAGTCCGGTGGCTAAAATGATCTCTGTCCGAGTTGTGCTAGCCTTGGCAGCCTCGCATAATTGAAAGTTATGGCAACTTGACGTGAAGAATGCTTTCTTATATGGACAGCTTGACAAAGAAATTTATATGTAGCCACCACCCGGGTATGTCTCTAACTTACATCCTGATTATGTCTGCAAACTTAAGAAGGCCCTTTATGGCCTCAAGCAAGCTCCACGAGCATGGTATGGAAAAATTGCTCAGTATCTACATTTTTGTGGCTATGATGCATAACAATCAGATCGTAGCTTATTTGTTAAAAAACAAGGAAGCTTGCATATGGTTGTTCTTTTGTATGTGGATGATATGATAATAACAGGAAACAATGAAGATGAAGTTGCTAGGCTTCAAGATGAGCTTTCCATATGATTTGACATCAAGAAGTTGGGAGAGCTACACCATTTTCTTGGCTTAGAGGTGACAAACATGAACAAAGGTATCTTTGTCACTCAAGAAGGATATGTCAAGAAACTTGTTGACAGGTTTGGATTGAAGCAAAGCAAAACATGTTCTACTCCTCTTGAGATAAGTACAAGGTTAAGGCAGGACGAAGGCTCACTTCTTGCAGATCCCAAGCCTTTTCGGGCTCTTGTTGGAAGTCTCCTGTATTTGACTATTACAAGGCCGGACATTGCCTTCTCAGTGAGATATGTAAGCAGATTTATGCAAAGGCCAAGAAAGCCTCACTTAGAAGCTGCAAAGAGGATTATAAAGTATATCAACTCAACATCAGACATGGGCTTGTTCTTCCAAAAGAAGAATGATTTGGTGTTAGCTGGTTATACGGATGCTGATTTTTGTGGTGATTTGGATGACCGAAGATCTACATCGGGCTATATATTTCTCTGTGGTGGAACAAGTGTTTCTTGGTGAAGCAAGAAGCAAGACTCAGTTTCCTTGTCGACCACGGAGGCGGAGTATAAAGCAGCTGCTCTTACTGCTCAAGAATATGTATGGATACAAAGACTTGCTGAAGACTTGCATCTACCTATATCAAAGCCAACTATGATCTATGGAGATAATCAAAGTGCCATCAAGCTTGCAAACAATCCAGTATTCCATGCAAGAACTAAACACATTGAGGTGGAACATCACTTTATTCGGGAAAAGGTTCTTGATGGAACTATCAATACTTTGGAAGTGCGAAGTCAAGAGAATATCGCAGATATCTTCACCAAGTCACTTGCTAAAGCTTCGTTCGAGTTCTTCCGTGACAAGCTTGGAGTAGTTTCCAAAAAATCACTTTAAGGGGGAGTGTGAAAAAAATAAAGTTGATTTTTTGGAAAAATATAGAATCCTCTAGAATGTCCTAGTATAGTATCCTTGATATTTATCTAGTAGACATATCTAGATGTTCTAGAATGTTGTGGGAAGATAAGACATGTCTAGATATTCTAGAGTGTTGTTAGAAGATAAGGTTGCTAGAATCTTCTTTGTCCATTATCAAGAATCATATCTAGAATCATCCATAAGCTAGTATAAATAGGGGGTGTCTTGTTCATTTGTAACCAAGCCAAATTCAAGAAAGTCTTCTTCAATTACAAAGTTCTCCTTTCAAAAATCTCTCTTCTCTTTTCAAGCTTCCTCTTCTTTAGTTGAATCCTCCAATCTTAATTAACGATCTTGGGCTAGCAGAAGATCTCCAGAAAAATACTCTTTCTTCTGCTATTCTTTACATATATAGTAGTTTGAATCATTCTTCCTTTTGTCTTCTTCTTGCTTCCTTTCCTTTCCCGTTTTATGTTGTTGTATTGGTAAAATATGTATACGACACATGGCCGGCATGGTAGTCTACATGTAACAAGTATTTTAAAGTCAGCTCCAAGTCAGTTGGAGTCACCTAGATCAAAGAGCGAAAATCGAGGAAGCTGATAATGGATCATCCTTCTGGTCAAGGTTCAGATCCAAACGGTTACAAGCGTCCGGCCTAAACTAACGTAACGGACGTGATTTGCACTTATTGTATATAACAGATGCAACATGTGAAAGAGATATTAGGAACGGTTACGATTAGGTTAAAAATACCATTTTCTCCACAATTGTATTAGAAATCTATCTCTCATTCTTACTCACACACTCGATAATAAAATTATAGCAGATTCATTGTGTTCATTATTATTATTTCTCACGGATTTCATCAATAAATAAGAATCTCTCTATCTCTTGTTATTTATTTCTTTCATTCAATTGTTTAGCTTGTCCACTTTGTTACGTTATGTTTATAATATTTACTAGTCTTAGGGTACGCGCTTTGCGCGTGTACGTACGCGTGCCAATGGACATATAAATTTTATAAATTAAGTAAATATTATTAAATAATGTGTTTTCCATTATTGAACATATATTAAAGAAAAATATATAATTTCCTAAAATAACGAATATTAATCTCACTAAGTTAGCTCAATAAAACAAAAAAAAATCCTACTCCACATAAGTTTTTATATGCCCTAGTTATGATTTATGCGGCTTGGAATATCTTTTCAAAATTATTTATATTTGTTACCAAATACTATAAGAAAATAACATAAAAATACTTTTACCACAATTATTCAAAGATAACAATACAAATTGAAGAATTTGAATCTTTTGGTATTTTAGAAATTTGTGAGTGACGATGTAGAACTCCTCATAGAAAAAATTTAAAAATAACAATAAAAGTTTTAAGTAACTAATATTGAACTACAAAAAAATATAATACTATATTGAAAAAAATTTATCATTTATTGGAATGAATATAAAAAGAAAAAAAAATGATAACGACACTTCTTTTGATTACCTTTTGTCTTATGTTACATCCTTAATGCTTCAACTTAGCACGTTTAACAATTTAATTTTTAATACTATATTATAATGGATTTTGCTCTATTTTCTTTATTTCTTTCACGTCCGATGCTTTTCTAGTGAAAATAAATTTATGTACCTTAAAAGATTTATCAACTTGACAAATAATTTTACTTACATAATGATTTTGAAAAATATTGAATT